GCAGCAGCAGCAGCAGCAGCAGCACGGCACGGCCTCCAAAGGATGACAAACTTTCTCAGCTCACAATGACGTCCGTTATAGGAGCGGTCGAGTGACTACAACTTTCAACCTATATTTCACTGATTCGGCCACCTGCTCGGCTCGAGTCTCGGCGCGTTGCTGCCGAAGCCCCCTCTCTCCCGTCGAAGGCAAGCTGAAACTGACACGCTGTATCTTCTTGCTCGTCGCATCACAGAACCGCCGCGATCGAGGTGTGCCAGTCGCTGGCCGAGTGCCTGAACAAGAACGGCCCTGCGATCATCGCACCGGACCACCTGGACGTGGTGTGCACGTACACGATCATGATCCTGGAGAAGAAGAGCCCGCCGCAGCTCGACTCGGAGATCCCCGAGGAGGAGAACGAGGAGGCGTCCGAGTACGAGTCGGTGCTTGTGTCGGCGGCGTCGGACTTGGTGGGTGCTATGGCCAACGTGCTGGGCGCCGACTTCACCGACCCGCTTAAGCAGTTCATGCCGCAGATCATGAAGTACTACACTCCCGGCCGATCGATGAGCGACCGCTCTACGGCGATTGGCTCGCTGGGCGAGATCATCACGGGCATGAAGGGCGCCATCACGCCCTTCACGCAGGACATGCTGTCTCTGCTGTCGCGCGCGCTGTCGGACGAGGAGGCGTCGGTGCGCTCCAACGCCGTGTTTGCGTCGGGCGTGCTGATCGAGAACACGCAGACGGACCTGAGCGCGCACTTCCCTGCTCTGCTCGCGGCGATCCGACCGTTCTTCGAGAAGGGCCAGAACGAGTCGGACGAGGTGCAGACGGCTCGCGACAACGCGTGCGGCTGCCTGTCGAGGATGATCATCAAGAACGCGGATGCCGTGCCGCTGGACCAGGCGCTGCCCATCCTCTTCTCGTCGCTGCCGCTGCAGAAGGACATGGCGGAGTGGTCGCCCGTGCTGCACTGCATGATGAACCTCATCCAGAGCAACAACGGTGTGGCGACGCAGAACATCGACACGATCCTGCAGCTCTTTGCACACGTGCTCGCCGGCGACGAGGACAACCTGGGAGCGCTGCTGCGCGGCCAGGTGTGCGGCTTTGTGAGCCAGCTCAACACGCAGATCCCCGACAAGGTGCAGGCTGCCGGTCTGCAGCAGTACCTCGTGTAAGGTGGCTTGTGGGAGGACTACGACCACGCTCAGTGCAAACATACCCGAGTAGTGTCTCGACGCATTTGCTCAACTCTTCGCATCCGCATCATCCTATCGCATTGAAGTGTATCCCGGTCTCGGCTTCAGCTCGCCCTGTTTTCCTTTAGACGTTCCGAATTGTTCATTTGACTCGCTTTCTCGCCTGTCGGAGAGGGTGCCCCGTGGGTGTCTGTGCCAATCGGGCGATGGCCTGGCATCGCAAATCGGATCGGACGATGAGCGAACGAAAGCCTCCCATCAAATCGAATGACTACAAATGAGCGCTGCAGTCTATAGAGGCGCCACGCTGGCGATTCAAACTGTTCTTGGCCGAGCTCTAAATTTCTCGGCCAGAGTCCAACACTTTCGCGCTTTTTTCCCTGATCCCTTTGAGGCGCGTGTGCGGACAAGTGCGCCGCCAGCTGGACAGCCAGACAGCAGGACAGCAGGACAGCAGGACAGCGCGTCGCCATTTTCATCGCGCTCGGGCACGCTGTGCGGCGCTGTGCTGGCGGCGCTCAGGCGAAGCTGTCAGAGCGTGCGTGCATGTGCGCGTCGGTGGATCCGGTCCCAAAATTTCGCGGCAGCAGACGGCGCACTTTGCCTTAGCGTCGCGGCTGAAGGAGCGCGCGCGCACGCCGCCGCCCCCCGCTTGGCTGGCAAAGGGTGCAACCGCAACCGCTCAGCCAGAGAGAGAGAGA